ACTGAAGGGGGTCCAGGAGAGGGTCTGTGATGGCTTTGAGGTGTGCCAGGACCAGGCGCTCAAAAGACTTCATTACCACAGATGTAAGGGCGACCGGTCTGTAATCATTTAGTCCTGTTGGCCTTAGCTTTTTGGGCACAGGGATGATGGTGGAGGACTTGAGACAGGCTGGTACATGGCATGTCTCCAGGGAGGTGTTAAAGATGTTGGTGAACACCGGAGACAGCTGGTCAGCGCAGTGCCTGAGGGTGGCTGGAGAGACAGAGTCCGGCCCGGCTGCTTTGCGTGGATTCTGCCTCTTGAAAAGTCTATTAACTTCTCCCTCCTGAAAGGAGATAGTCGTCTCTGTAGTATTGGTGGGGGATGGGGCCTCTTGGGTTGGAAGGGGTGGTTCAGGACAGTCCAATTGTCTTTCAAATCTACAGTAGAACTCGTTCAGGTCGTTGGCTAGGCGGGAGTCGTTAGTGGTGTGGGGGGCTCTGGGTTTGTAGTTGGTGATCTGCCTGAGCCCTCTCCAGACAGAAGCAGCGTCGTTTGTAGAGAACTGGTGTTTTAGTCTCTCTGAGTACAGTCGTTTAGCCTCTCTCACCGCTTTGCTAAACCTGTTCTTCGACTCCTTGAATCTGTCTCTATCTCCACTCCTAAACGCTTCCTCCTTCTCCAACCTCAACCTTCTGAGCTTTGCTGAGAACCAGGGCTTATTGTTGTTAAAGTTCACCCTGGTACGTGTTGGGATACAGCAGTCCTCACAGAAGCTGATGTAGGACGTCACAGCCTCTGTGAGTTCATCCAGACTATTGGTAGCAGTCGTGAACATATCCCAGTCAGTACAGTCTAAGCACGCCCGCAAATCTTCCACAGCCTCACTGGTCCACTGTTTAGATGTCCTCACAGCAGGTTTACAGAGTTTTAGTTTCTGCCTGTATGTAGGAATCAGGTGGACCATGGCATGGTCAGAGTGTCCTAGTGCTGCTCGGGGGACGGCGTGGTAGGCTCTACTGACTGTAGTGTAGCAGTGAGATTACCTTTGTTAAAGTCGCCAAGTACGATAACCAACGAATCTGGATTTGCTCGCTCCACACTCAGAATCTGATCGGCGAGCATGCGTTGGGCCTCTTTAACCTGAGGACAAGGCGGCAAATAAACTCCGACCAAAATGAGCGACGCGAACTCGCGAGGCGAGTAAAACGGTTTACAGGTTATAAAAATTGATTCAAGGAGTGGAGAACAATGTTGCAGAATCACTGTGACATCTACACACCAGCCACTGTTAATGTAAAAACAAATACCACCGCCTTTCGTCTTGCCGGAGAGTGCTATGTCACGATCCGATCTTACAAGATGGAATCCTGCTAGTTGTAGCGAAGTGTCCGGAATCAAATCACACAGCCATGTTTCCGTGAAGCACAATGCAGAAGCTGAAAGAAAGTCTTTGTTTTTTACCATCAGTAGCTGAAGTTCATCCATTTTGTTGCACAGTGAACGTACGTTGGAGAGGAAAAAGCTCGGAAGCACTGTTCGGATCCCGCGTCTGCGTAGCCGTACTAGAGCCCCCGACCGTTTACCCCTTGGGCGGCGTTTCGTTGCTTGAGCAAAGCCTAGCGCGGCATTGACTAGAATGCCTACTAATTCTGCCGCTGGAAGCAGAAAAGTAGGAATTAAATCCACAGGAGTTGTTTCCCTGATATTTAAAAGTTCGTCTCTTGTTAGAGAACTCCGAAAATCTTGGCAAAACACTGAATTGACAGACAAAACAAGACAAAACAGGGCGCACCGACCGGCTGAGGCTACCATCATCAGCGCCATCTTCGCACCAGCACGGGTGTGCTGAACAGCAGGACTCTCTCACCAGCACTGGTGTGTTGAACAGTAGGCCCCTCTCACCAGCATGGGAGTGGTGAACAGCAGGCCCCTCTCACCAACACGGGTGTGATGAACAGTAGGCCTCTCTCACCAGCATGGCAGTGAACAGCAGGCCCCTCTCACCAACACGGGGGTGATGAACAGCACGCCCCTCACACCAGCACGGGTGTGTTGAACAGCAGGCCCCTCTCACCAGCACGGGTGTGTTGAACAGCAGGCCCCTCTCACCAGCACGGGTGTGTTGAACAGCAGGCCCCTCTCACCAGCACGGGTGTGCTGAACAGTAGGCCCCTCTCACCAGCACGGGTCTGTTGAACAGCAGGCCCCTCTCACCAGCACGGGTGTGCTGAACAGTAGGCCCCTCAACACGGGTGTGCTGAACAGCAGGCCTCTCTCACCAACACGGGTGTGCTGAACAGTAGGCCCCTCAACAGCAGGCCCCTCTCACCAGCACGGGTGTGCTGAACAGCAGGCCCCTCAACACGGGTGTGCTGAACAGCAGGCCTCTCTCACCAGCACCGGTGTGCTGAACAGCAGGCCCCTCTCACCAACACGGATGTGATCAACAGCAGGCCCCTCTCACCAGCACGGGTGTGCTGAACAGCAGGCCCCTCAACACGTGTGAGCTGAACAGCAGGCCTCTCTCACCAGCACGGGTGTGCTGAACAGCAGGCCTCTCTCACCAGCACGGGTGTGCTGAAAAGCAGGCCCCTCTCACCAGCACGGGTGTGTTGAACAGCAGGCCTCTCTCACCAGCAAGGGTGTGCTGAAAAGCAGGCCCCTCTCACCAGCACGGGTGTGTTGAACAGCAGGCCTCTCTCACCAGCAAGGGTGTGCTGAACAGCAGGCCCCTCAACACGGGTGTACTGAACAGCAGGCCTCTCTCACCAGCACGGGTGTGATGAACAGCAGGCCCCAAAACAGCAGGCCTCTCTCACCAGCACGGGTGTGATGAACAGCAGGCCTCTCTCACCAGCACGAGTGTGTTGAACAGCAAGCCCCTCTCAAGACAAAACAAGATGAAACTGGACAAAACAGGGCGCACCAACCGGCCGAGGCTGCCATCATCGGCGCCATCTTGACCACTCTGCCATGATGCCATCTGTGTGGAGAATTTGAGTGTTAACTTCCTTCAATGATTTTAATTAATTAATCCGTAGCAAGCCAAACTCCACGCATTGCTCCGTTAATAATTTAACGTGCTCTGTTGTTGGCGGCCCAAATGCATATAAACACCGAGTGGAATTAATTCGCATTCACATTGCCACGGTCGTGGTTACCGCTGTGGTTTTGAATATTCAGGTGCCGAACCCGGAGCCAGGATCCCCTCGAGCACTGGCGGCGTGATCCGCTCTACCACCCGCACAAATGGATACGCTGGGCCACGCCAGTGGACGGACGTTAGCGGTGTGACGGTGAATCGGTTCATCGGCTCAATATCGATTCTTAACGCCCGCGGCGAGTGGTGCTGCCCTCCAAACGAATTGCACCCAAAAATGAATTGCTAAAAAAATTATGTTGGCGATGCTGCTGCTGCATTGGCAGTGGCGCACAGTTAACATCACCAATTGCAACACTATCGCCCACAACACTCTGGCCTTAAAACTAAAACAATGTAATAGGTGACATTTTGGACAAGAGGCCTTGCTTCTTCAGAGCACCTACATAGAGAGGTGAGACGGACAGTGGATAATACGAGTTGGAGACTGCACTTTACACACCATCGGTGGGGCCTTGAGAGAATTACATCTGAACAAAAATGTTTGCTGATGACCAGTTTTTTTTTTATTTGGCATAGGAATTGTTACCCAGTAGTAGCTGTTAAGTAAATCTGAGCAAATTGCATTAAGTTAAGGCAAACGTAGAGAAGAGAAGGTTCTATCTTACAGTTTAGCCATACATAATACAATTTTTTTGGGTTAGATCGCGTAAATACCAATGTGTCGTTAAACCCGCCACTACCCAACACAGTCAATTAGTAAGGTTTGTCACACGACGTTTCGCCAGTAATTACAACTAGCTTCATCAACCCAAAACACCTATATTATGGATGATATTGGTCGCAAAAGCCTACGTGTTAAACTGAGCTTAGCCACAATTTTGTGGTCTTCAGTCAGCCTAGCCATTTCAATGACCTGTAAATCACTGTTTATCGAGTCTTTACTAAACTTTCTTGGTCTTCCTCTTCTCCATTTTCCTATCTTTCTATTCTCGAAAGGAATGCAATGCAACTGAAACGGAGGCCGACACTTAAATGTTGCAACACACAATGTAGAGTTGGAACTGCGCGGCAAACAAAATGGCTGTATTTCATGGAAAATACAGGCGGCAGTTTGTAATTCCAACTTTAGCCAGCAGCAAAATGAACAACAAAAATTCAATAAATCACTTCACGTACTCTTTCATGGCGGAGGCATATCCGCCTCTTACGCCATTTAAGCGGGACGATGTTTTCACTAAAAGGAGAAGACTGTATTCATCACTGGCCTGAAATTCCTCGCCACCGTGGTGAATGTACACCCAGAACCCACAGGCCTAAGGGTAGCTTTTGCTTGCAAATACAAACTTTGGCTCTCAACACAGACCCTCCCCATTCAGCCCACTCCCAGCCGTAGCACCTTCCGTCCCGCTAAAGCCTCGAAGAAATGCAAATGTGCAGGCGTATCTGCAAGGCGATTTGTTTGATTGTCGCGATGACGGGGGTTACGGATTGATTCAAGAGTATTTTCCCATCTGTTTCATTATTGCCATCTCGTTTGTGTTGCTTCGTATTTTTTGTTTTTTCTTCTGTCTTGTTTGTTCCCATTGCCCTAAATGTAACTTTAACGATACTTATATTTGAGGAAACAAAGACAATAAATGTGTTCGTTTACGGCGTGTTCAGGAACTCTAGGCCGCTGCAAGTTGCCCAAGCTACACAAGGCCATGCTTATGATTCTTAAGATGCAGTGTAAACACCAGAGGCTCCAGCAGCCAAACTAAAGCAGCTTATCGAAGATGCTAGGGCGGTGGCGGAGGCTATTCACAGGGCGATGGTGTATCCATAGCAAGGTGTATCCTGGAAGTGGTGTGCCGGGGGGGGGGTTCACGTATTGATGCGTGCATGCGTGTGTACCGCCCTCCCCGCGACCGTGCAGTGGGGCGAGGTGACGCGTCTCTTCCGAGCGGGGATGCCCGTGCGCCGCCACCGCCTGCACCTGCGATCGCACGACCGATGCTTCACGGCCGCCGAGGCGGCCGACTGGCTGCACGCGCTGCTGCGCGACAACCGGAACTTCGGCCCCACGGTGACGCGCGAGCAGACCCTGCAGCTGCTCGGGAAGTTCCTCAAGAACCACGTCGTGGAGGACGTGAAGGGACGCTGGGGCACGGAGGCGGTGCGCGACGACTCCAAGCTCTACAGGTGCGGCTGGGCAACCAACTTTGAAATCGTTTACGGTTGACTCGGGTGTGTAAGTGCCTCATAGCAGCACAGCTTTGATTTAAAAAAAAATGTTTGAAATGAGAGTCGTCGACCGCAGGCTGCGATTTGACTGTGGGGGTGGTGGGGTGGGCTGGCTTTGATAGCGGTGCTACCCCTGGGCGTCTCCGGGACCGATTCAGATATCGCCTGCCGCTGATGTGTTAGCCGTGGACAGGGAATGGAATAGTTAGCTAAGGTTCTGAGCACAGTGTGATGACAACGGCGTCAGCCATTTCACCACCACGCCTCCCCCCCCCCACCTCCACTGTTGAATGTGCTTAGTGTTAAAAGAAAACTGTCTTCATGAGAACAGTTCTGCAAACTAGATTTGATGCTTTCGTGACTGCAGGAATTAATCTTTGTTTTTTTTCGGTGAAGTCACGTAGAAATAAGAAAAATAAAAATAAAATTACATAATATAATGTATTTTTCTTTTTCTTATTTCTACGTGATTTACCAAAAAAAACAAAGATTAGTTCTGCAAACGTTTAGAAATTCATGAACAAAGTCAAAATATTTTCTTTACGGACTTGTACGTTGATTTGCGGACAGTTGAGGCCACCTTCAGGTGTGTCCACACCACTTTGCTTTCGTTCCCTGAAAGGGGTCACGGCATTTGCCCCACTGAACAAAAATTAGTTTCTGACTCAAATAGCAGTTTGGAGAAAGTGCCCCCTTTGCCTCCCCCCCCCAAAAAAAACACCCCAATCGATCGCACGACACAAAAGGGCCTATCACCCTAGCCAAACGACTAGCACGGTTGGCTACATACGGTTCGAAAGAAGTTCGACATACGTATAAAGGAGTCTCCTTTGTGTGCCATCAGAGCGTGTGGTTTGAGCACGTGCTCGTAGCGTGACGCGGTGGGGAGCGCAGGTGGTCGGTGGCCCCCTCTCCCCCCCCAACAAAGTCTGCTTTGGTCCCTTCCCAATGTATTTCTCTTGCGCAATCGAACCGTCTGTTGGGGAGGCTCGCAGTGCAGTGCACGACCATTCCCCCACTCTACCCCCGAGATAGACAATGGGACTCCCTCCGAGCTCGCTTCGGGTCACCTTTTCTGCACGCTATGTGTGCCGTACTTTCCCAAACAGCCTGCCGCGGAGAAAAATTGCAACCAGTATATATTGTTTTTATTCCCACGGCTGGAATTTGACCAAACGAAATGCAAAACTGAATTTTTTAAGATTGGTGTTTTGTTTTTTTTGGCGTATGGTCATTGGTGACGAGGCCGAGACCATCGCGTCGCTGCACTCGAGAACCCGGCTGTTTAATCGCGAGCTACCGGAATCCGGATTTAAATCCGTGGCCTCGGCGACTTGGCTGCTGTAAATTTCCACGTCATAAACCACTTAGTTGAGCTATCATTTGAGGATGGCCAGGTCGCTTTTGAAAAAAAGAGCTGCATAGGTCGGTGGCGCCTTACCTGGTAAAATAACAAAAAAAATAGTATGTGGATACCAACTCTGTCTGCGACACGACGATTAGGAAAGCCCACCGAGAGGGACAGCGAGGCAGATGCCCAAGAATGTGAGTTTACTCCCAGGGGCAGGGGGAGGGGGTATTTCAGTTTTGACATTATCATTATTGCTAGTCCGCAATGAGAGGAATGTGACATTGTTGCATTCAGTTCGTGAGAGCATTCAGGATTCGTGTGCGGCTTTCACAACAACAAAAATGTATTTGAGTGTGCGAGAGAGTGGATGTGTGCGGGGAGTGGTCGTGTAGTCGTGCGTCACCGTACTGCGTGACAATACCCGGCAACCCCAGTTCGATTCCCGGCCACGACCAACGTCGGTGGAGAGTGATGTCAGAACCGGTCCTGGACCTCCCCTCGGTTATTTACCCTTAAATGAACACCTGGTGTTCAAACAGGGGAAACAAATTTGCCTGGGTGCAGTGCTCGACACACCATCCCCTTGTGCTCACGAACTGTATTTGTCCGCAACAGTCTATCAAGGCTCTATGGGCGATGATTGTCCTTGTTACCAAAAGCGCTGTTCTTCTAATGAGGCCACGTCTCAATCCCGCCATAATTCCCTGCAGGTTCCCGGTGGCCTCTCCCGCCAAGTCCATGTCCGGCGGCTCCCGGCAGCCGCTCTCCGAGAGGAACTCGGGCTCCGTGGCCAGGAGGCGCCTCGGCCTCAAGGCCGACGCTCCGCCGTCGCTGTGGTCGGGGTCGACCTCACCGGCTCGTGCCAAGGCGACCTTTAACCCCGACGAGTGGCGCAACGTCGCGCTTGCGCTGTACGTGCGATTCTTTGAGTCGGGTTTTTTGTGTGTGTGTGTGTGTGCGCGCGTGCACGCATGTGGGGAGCGGTGGCGCAGCGGTTAGCGCGCTGCGAACCCGGCAACCCGAGCTCATTTGCCAGCTCCCAGTCAACACCACTGACGATTATCAGTCTGTTGAAGACTGTGCGGGGAATCGTTGTCTTTGTGTGTGCATGTGCAGGTTGTGCGAGGCGCTGTCTCTGCCATCACTCGCCGGACTCTTGGACCCCGCGAGCGTCGACCCCACGCACATCATGCGCAACGTGCAGGGCGCGGGGAGACGCGGCCTCGTCATCCTGCAGGACGACACCGGTGCTGCATAACACCCCCTGAGCCCTCAGCCCCCTGAGCCCTCACCCCCTGAGCCCTCAGCCCCCTGAGCCCTCACCCCCTGAGCCCTCAGCCCCCTGAGCCCTCAGCCCCCTGAGCCCTCAGCCCCCTAAGCCCTCACCCCCTGAGCCCTCACCCCCTGAGCCCTCACCCCCTGAGCCCTCACCCCCTGAGCCCTCAGACCCTCAGCCCTCACCCCCTGAGCCCTCACCCCCTGAGCCCTCAGCCCCCTAAGCCCTCACCCCCTGAGCCCTCACCCCCTGAGCCCTCACCCCCTGAGCCCTCAGACCCTCAGCCCTCAGCCCCTGAGCCCTCACCCCCTGAGCCCTCAGCCCCCTAAGCCCTCACCCCCTGCGCCCTCACCCCTTGATCAAATTCTGACCAACACAGCTCCTCCTCCTCACCAGTGGCTTGAGACTTCTCCCAGCTGAGTTCAACATCAACACATCCACAGTGTTTCAACGCCTTTTGAGCTTCATCCGACAGTGAGCTCGGAAATCGAGTCACTCCCTCGACTGACCGTGCATTATGTACAGTTTTGTTGCCAGCTCCCTGCTCTCATTGCCTTCTGCCCCCCGTCTCCCTCTCATATGCCCTTGCTTCCATGTCCATTGCTCTCAATGCTGTGCCTGGGCACCAATGCAAATGTAAGTTTCTTAAAAAAAAATTTGCTTCTGATTTTCTGGTCTCGATCCCCTGTTTCCTTCCCACCTCCACAGACGACTTGCCGCACTGGGTCCTCACTGCCATGAAGTGCTTGGCCAACTGTGAGTGCATGTGGCGGAACACATCACCGTGCAACCACCGTCACCTCCGATGCCATCTTCACCACCACCGTTGTAGCTGCCGCCATCATCACAAGCACCACTTTCGGTCGCCTTGGCGATCGGGCTACCAGAGTACAGAACTTCTGGTCGTCATGTGACCGTGCCTTTTAGTGTGATTGGAGGTCTCCATCCCATTTGCCCACTGGGGAAAATAGTGATCAGTCGGGTTCAGATTTGGGTCACTACAGCATTAACTGTGGCAGTATCCATAACTACATTACAAGTGCCTAAAAAAATGTCCTATTGCACTAGCTCCCTCCCTTTTGCCTGGTCTTTCTGCCGTCCATTACACGCCTGGCCCCTGCGACACCGTGTGACCTTGTGACCCCCATTGTGTCCCGCAGGGCCGGGCAGCGAGGCGGGTCGCTCGGAATCATATCCGGGCTTCGAGAGGGATGTGTTCGGCTCCGTGTCGCAGCACTTCTGCTCGCTCGCCGATCCGCTCCTCACTTTCCCGCTCTACCGCCTCTTCGTCGGTGTGCTCGGTGCCTATCCCACTTGCTCACCTACCCTGAGCCACTCACTCATGCACCTAATCACTCAGTCACTCACTGCTTCACTAACCCACCCACTCAGCTACACATCCACGAACCTGCTCCCTCACCTCTCAACAACATACTCACCTACACAGTCACCCACCAACCTCTTCACCCACTTACCTACTCGCTCACCTATGCATCCACCCACTCACTCATTCACTCAATCGCTCCCACTCTTCTATGCAATTACCCGCTAACATGTTGACGTACTCCTTCCAACCACCAACCGACCCGCTTGCACACGCAGCCACCTATCCCCTCACTGATCCACTCCACAATCTATCTACTCGTTCACTGTCCCACTCAGTCACTCACATGCTCGCTTACCTGTCTACCCACCCACTCATTCATCCACCTATTGACTTACTCATCAACTCATCCACTCACTCACCCATCCATCCACCCACTCATTGAATGACCCACTCAAATCGCCCACCCATAAACTTTCCTATCTACCCACCCACTCACTGACTCCTCCACCTATCTGCTTGCTCGACGATTCGCCCAATGGCTCACCCATTCATCCTTGCACTCGCTCACTGACCTACTCCGCACCCACCCCACCCGCCTCACTCGCCCTCGCCGCTTGCGCCCGCAGTCCTCACGGGCTACGTCCTGGAGGAGGAGCCGCCGCCGCCGCCCGCGCACCGGGAGCGCCGGCCTACCGAGCCGCTGGCGCGGCGAGACCAGCGCTGGGCCCCGCCACCTCCGCCCCCCATCCTCCGGCGGACCCCCACGCCGACCCTCGCCCCCGCTCACCTGCCCTGGGCCTCGGCCGAGAACCTCCTGCTGAGCTTCACGTCCGCGGGCAACGCGAGCGACGCCGTGCCGGTAAGGGGGGAGAAGCGGGGGGAAGGGCGGGGTGGGGGCGCGTTGTGTCAACTCGTCACGGAGAGGGTGGCAGAGCGCGCCATGCCGAGTGGCCCACAGCCCACGTCGGGTAGAGGTGCGGAAGCGGCGACGTGACGTGCGCACGGCCCTGCTCGCACCTCCGATTAGCGCCGTTGGCTACGTACGCTGCGAAAGAAGTTAAACGTACGAACGTGCGTGCATGTACGTTGCAGAAGGGCCTCCATCAGAGGGCACTCTGGAGAGCGGCCTGTTAAGAGGGCATTTTAGCCTACTTCTTCCACCCCGGACAGATGTCTCGGAAGACCTAGGAGTTCGCCATATTTTACCCCACCACATGCGACCTGTTGCTCATCATGTAACGGTGGCATGATGTAATGTAAATACTAATGACCCATAAAAACGAGTCTTTGTAGCCCATCGGATTCCTCCAGGGATAGATGATTGAGATGGCGATTAAGCAATTATACTCGGAGGTGTTGGGTGGATATTGAAAAAGCATGGGTTCAAGGACGGGGGTGATCTCCTGCTGCAATCAAACCACGGCTACCCATGATGAAGGTACATTTTTTTGTGGTTGGATCGCGTAAATATAAAAGTGACATTTGTGACGCATTTATATTCACTCGATCCCACCCAAACAACTAAAACCTTTTATTATGGATATAATATCGGTCGCGAAAGCCTACTACACGCGTTCAGCTGACTAACCGCCACAACCCCCGCCGGCCATCTCGTACGCAGGCCGCGCCGTTCCGTCGCGCCGCCCCCGTGCGGGTCAAGCGGCACGACAGCGTCACGCGGGCGGCGCCGGCGGGCGACCCCCCACGTCTCGTGCGGCCCGCCCCCCGCCCCGCGCCGCTCCCCCTCCACCGCGGGCGCAGCCACCACGCGCTGGCCGTGCTGGAGGAGGAGGAGGTGGACGACGGCGACGGCGACGTGAGCCCCTGGGCGCCGGCTCAGCGCTGCTTCTCGCTCGACAGCCTGGCGGCCGCGGGGTCCGCCGAACTCCCAACCTGGGTACGTCCGGTCGGACGCGCCGAGAGTTTCCTCCTGAAGCGGCTGCAGCAGCAGCAGCCGAAGCATCAGCAGCTGCAGCAGTATCATCATTATCAGCAGCAGCAGCAATATCATCATTATCAGCAGCAGCAGCAATATCATCAGCAGCAGCAGCAATATCATCAGCAGCAGCAGCAACTTCATCATCAGCAGCAGCATCATCAGCATCAGCAGTACCAACAGTACCCGCAGTACCACCGGCAGCAGCATCAGCAGCACCAGCAGCAGCTCGGGGAGGCAGGGGATCCGGAGCGGTTGGATCAGGATGTCCAGGAGTGGGGGACAACACAGCGCCCACGGTCCTGGCACACGTGCCTCCCCGAGTACACGGGCGACCCGCGGTGGGATGGCGGCTTCGGCGGCGTCGCGGGGGGGGGCACGTCGCGGAGCCCGCCCCCCGAGCGGCGCTCCTCCGCGGAGCCGCGCCCGCGAGTGGCGTCGCTGTCGGCGTGCGAGCGGCGCATGCAGGCCGGGCGGCGCCGCGCCGCCAGCTGCGCCGACGTTCACGGCGCGGCGCGGGCTGACGCCGGTTGGGGACGGCGCGGCGGATTGGCGCTCGGCGCCAGCGCCGGCGACCTCGGAGCGACGCCGAGCCCCACGCCGAGCCCCACGCCGTCGTACCTCGGAGTCCAGTCGGCAGCGAGCGGCCCCACCCTGGTGCCGAGTGAGTTGCGGCGATGTTGCTCGTTGCAAACCCCCTTTTGCTGGCTTCTTCCCCACCCGCCGTCCGTGCAGTCGCACCCCCTGCCCCTGATCCCTGAATCGCCAATCCCTCCGCTGGCTTGTCGCCGTTTACATTTGAGTAGACATAGGGGAGGGAGGGCTCCACCCGCCTTGTGAATAATTCAGCCCTTGCATGTCTCTCTCCCCATGGTCCCGTGGATTTTTCTCCTGGTCGTCCGGTGTTTCCCTCCACATTTAAAATCAACATGCGTTTCAGAGTATTTGGCTGCTCTAAATTGCACTTGATAAGCCACTTCGTTGAGCTATTATTTGTGGCCAGGTCGCTTCTGAAAAAGAGCTATACAGCTCAGTGGGCCTAACCTGGTGAAATAAAAATAGTAAATATAAATGACCTTTTTGACCTGTGACCCTGCTCCCCCTCCCCCTCCCGTACCCGTACCCCCAGGCCCGGAGGGCGCGGGCCGCGAGGCCGCGTGCGTGGCGGCGCTGCGCGTGTGCTGCTTGTTGCTGCCGCCCCCGAGCCGGCGCCGCCTGCAGCTGGTGACGCGCATGGCGGCACGAGCCATCGCCAACGGCCGGCTCCCTCCGCTGCACACGACGCGGGGCACACGGGCGCACGTACGCTCGCTCACGCACGCGCACACGCACGCACGCGCACACGCACGCACGCGCTTGCACTCGCCCACTCGCCCGCGTGCTTTCACACACACGTGCACCCGCTCGCACTGGTTTACTTGTGCACTCCCCCAATGATTGCTCACCTTTGCACCGATTAACCTGCCCCCGATTTAAGCTGTTCCTGCTGACTGCACTTGCTCACCTGTGCCTCCACATGCTCACACTTGCTCGCTCACTGTCAGTAAGTGGGGGTGGGGTAGCGAACAGTGCCGCCAAAATACGGTGTTGTACTGCACTCTGCTCCATCATCTGCACTTCCCGCTTTCACCAGAGTTGGGGAGAACAAAAAAAATCCCTCCGCGACCCGACAGTGGATCGACAAACCCCCGGGGCTGCGTTTGTGTTGGCCTAGCTGGGCCACTTACCTCAAATCCTGCCGGGCCACGTGGCCTTGGTGCCAAACGCTCGGATTGTGAAACTTCGCCCCCCCCCCCCCCCCACCCCAACTCGCTAAAGGCTGCGCCGCGGGCAAGAAGGGGTGGCGGTACAAATACGGTACAGCACAAGCGCCGCTGGACTCACGTCGCCGCTGTCTTTTGTGGCCGCTGCCTCCGCCGCTGCCGCTGCCGTTGTTTGGGCGTAATTGGGAGGGGGTGCGCAGATCGTGGAGTCGCTGGCGCCGTGCGTGCTGCGAGCGCGCGACGGGGAGGGCGCGGAGGGCGACGCCCTCGTGTCGGCCCGGCTGCTGACGCTGCTGGTGGAGAACCACGGCGAGGTGCTGTTCAGCAGCATCCCCGAGCCGCTCGCCCGGCTGGCTCGCGGCGAGAGCAGCGCCGAGCGCACGCCCCCACGCATGCAGGTGTGGGTCCGTCTGTGCGCGCGACCGGGCATCTGTTTGTGTACACGTGTGTCCGCTTCTTTGTATGCGTCGTGCATCTGCCTGTCCTTTTACCGGTCGGTCTGTGCGTCTGTCCACCCGTGTGTGCGTGCGTATTCCTCCAGTTGTCAGGTTTTTTTTATGTCCGTGTATCCATTCGTCCATCTGTCTGTCTGTGTTATATGTCTGTTGGCCAGATCTGTCCCAAATTTCTGCCGATATATTTATATATCTGTCCATCTAGTTGTTTTTTTTTCCTACTGTCTCAGTGTGTTGGTCTGATTATCTTTGTCCATCCTGCTGTTGGTGTGCTAGCTCCACTCATGTGTGCGTCAATGTGGTATGTCTGTCCACCTGTCCATCTATCCGTCCGTCTGTCTGACCGTCCATCTGTCTGTCCATTGATCTATCTACACCACCCGCCTCCATCTGACCATCTCTTGGCCCTTGCCTTGTCGAGCTCCCGAAGTTTTTGTCGTGACGTTTAATTCCGCTTTCCCCTGCGCGTCGCACAGGAGCTCCTCGAAGACCACTCCCCCTCACCGATCCGGCTGAGGAGCCACACCTCCTCACCGATCCGACCAATCACGGGCTTGAGCGAGCATCCGCGGCGGAGCGCGAGCGACGGATCCGTGTCTCCGCGTGACAGACGGAAGCGATCGCAGGAGGTCAGCGCGGAGAGGCGCACACTTTGCCATTGTAGTTCATTCTCAATGATCCGTCGGCGTGGTACTAAACTAAAACACTTTTTTTTATTTTACCAGGTAAGGCCCACTGAGCTACTTGGTTCATTTTCAGAAGCGACCTGGCCACAAGTGACAGCTCAACAAAAGTGGCTTATTACGTGGAAATTTATAGCAGCCGAATACTCTAAACGCGTGATGGTTCTCAATGTAGAGCGAAAAACCGGACGACCCGGAGAAAAATCCACGCTCCCATGGGGATACAGACATGCAAACTACAAATATACAGCAGCAGGCATCAGGGTCAGAATCGAACCCACGACCTCCTGCATACTTGGCGATATTCGAAGAATTACCCGCAAGCCACTCAATGGGGATTACAAATCACAATCATCGCCCCCTACTGGCAGACATGCCCACTTGCAGGTTGGTGCTGAGTCAACTTGTGCCGCAGAGGGACAGCTGCCGCTGGGGGTGCCCTGTGAAATGTGTGAAATGAGAAGTGATTTAAGTCGTGTCTAAATCACTTGGAGATGCCTTGGTGTTTGGGGCGCTCTATCAGAGACAAATGATTCTGCCAGTGTCTTGGGTCTCCCTAAGTATGGAGGCCTCTTTGTGAGTCTCTGGGTCTCTGTGTTAGTCAATGCAATACAATGGGAATGTATGCATCCTCAAATTGTCACCGCATTTCCAACCAATGTACCGGGGCACGTTTAGTTTCTAGAGAGAAAGAGGAAGTCATAGGCAAAGGAAGGAGTAAGGATGTGTAAGGGCTTGAAAACACAACACGCATGACGGATGGAAGGGAGTTCCCGACTATGGGGCGGCAAAGGTGAATCGATTCCATGGCAAAACAAAAAGCATCGCCTCCTGTTTATTTTTCTCAGCCGCTTTTTTTTTGCTACCTCGTAAAGTTCCGCACGAATTTTTTGTCTGGATTTAGAATTGATTGATACACATCCTTCAATCAATCTGGTTCCTCGCCTTTGCCTTTTTTTCCTCCGCCCCCCTCCTCATTTCCCCTGGTCTGTGCCCCCCCCCCCCCTGCCTCCTCCGCAGTACCCTGCCTCCCCTCGGCTACAGCAGCTGGACGCGCAGAGACCCCGCGACGCCGCCAAGGGCCCTGCTCGCACTAGGCCGAACATCAAACCGCCGCTACTGCTGCTCGCCATGACCAAGCCATTCAAGCGCAAAAGCTCCCTCCGTTGCTGAGTGCCGCCGGGAACCTGGCAGCTGTGACTCGGGACTTGGGACCAATCAAAGGACATGGGATTTTTATTTTTTTATTGAGACAAAGGACTCGGGACTAAAGACCTGTGATGTAGGACCCGTGATCTTGGACCCGGGAATGGAGACTTGTGGATTTCAGCACATCGGGCCTGAAGCTTTGGACCAAAGATCTGAAACTTGGGACCAGGGCTTAATCTCGGCGCAGTCTGTCTGGGTCGGTGACCCGGGAAATATATCCACACCCAGCACACCACATTCATAATACTTTTGGTTGTGGATACTAGTCATGTGCTCTCGTCTGAAAGTGAATATTCGGTGAGAAATTAAGATTTGTATAGGATTCTGGACTTGGAACTGGGTTTTGATACTTGATAACCTGTGTTCTAGGACAAAAGACGTCGGTTTCAGGACTTATAACCTGGAGCATGTGACTCAGAACCTGAGACTAATTATGTGGTACATGAGAATTGGAATTGAAGATCTGGGATTTTGGACTTATGACCTTGGATTTGAAACTCAGGACCTGAGATTTGGGTTGCAGAACCAAGGACCTGGCATCTGTAATTGAGTTGTGAAGCACCTGTGACTCTGAAACTTGGGATTTAGCCAGATATAAGCCCTTCCCTTGGGAGCAAGAACAGCTGTGCTGATCTGACATTGCCCTTGCCTTCCCTCCACTTGTCAAATATTAGGATATGTTACTTATATTAGAAATGTGTTTATATCTAAATTCGGCTACTTGAGACATGGGACCTGCAGCTTGGTTTTTGGAACCTGTACCTGTCTCACCTGGTACCTGTCTCACCTGGTACCCAGCCCCATCCTTCCCCCCCCTTCTCGTGTCTGAGTCGTGGGTGAGCGGGTCCCACAGACCAAGACACTCAGACGATTGTTTACGCAGGGGGGGAGGTGGGCCTCTTCGATTCTCAAACCCTCTCTATCAGTCCTGGCTGTCGTTGCAGTGTTCCAGCGTCGTTTTCGGCGTTAAAAAGCGTTGATCCCTCGAGTGCCGTCCGTTCATCTTCAGCGCTGCGCTTGACAAAGACGCGCGCCCCCTCTGGCCATGTGGACTGTTGGGGGCAAGGGGTGCTGTTGGCGAGCACTCAACCAGACGCACACACACACGCACACAAACATGCACGCACGCACGCACACGCACACAGACAGCAACCACCATTCGCCACTAAGTGGCACCACGACGTTTGTGCCAGGCCATGCGCACCTTGAGGCCACGTGAAGTGTCGAACGCCCGCTGGCAGGAGGTCACAGGGCAGACCCAATTGCCACGGGTCGACTGACTAAGATGACTGAGATGACTGGCTGATGCACCACCTGTGCCCCCTACTGTGCCAACCTGCTGTGCTTTAGCCACCCGGTGCTCCGCTCGTTGTTGTGAGCGTTGCTCCTCCGCCCTCCGTTGTTGTTGGAGGGCGACTGCCTCTAACTGCCCAGTAGCATCCTTCACGAGCCTCCTCCACAGAGGCCGATCTTGACACCGCTGGTACCAGTCATCGGCAAGTCCACTCAGCTCTACGTCCTCCTGTACCACATCACTCCATCTCTTCTCTAGCCCGTGCCGCGCCCGTTTAGCCCCCTCGATCCGGCCAAACAAAAGCTGTTTCGGCATGCGGTGGCTGGGCATGCGGGCTACATGACCCAGCCAACGCAGCCTTGCCTGCCGGAGGAGCTCACCGATGGGACCTTGCCCAGATCTTTCAAGGATTTGAGCTCGCACAATCCAGCCTGGTTAAACCCAGGATGGATCGTAGGCAGGCTAGCCTAAATGTGTCTAACCGGCGAAGATGTTCCATTAGGGGGGTCCACGTTTCACAAGCATAGAGAAGGGAGGGAATGACTGTGGCCGAGAAGACCTGAAGCTTAGTGCGGAGCGACAGACCAGGTAGCTTCCACACAGCATTACGCAACCGATGAAAAGATATTGCCGCTCAACTGATTTGGAGTGAGACCTCTGCTGTTAAACTGGAGCCGGTCATAATCACACTGCCCAGGTATGGGAAACTCTCCACTCTCCACAACTGCCCCATCACCGATTGGGAGTTGTGGGGGTGGAGTGTCCAATGGTACAAAATACCCAGGCAGGTGCTTAGTTTTGATGGGGCTGATGGTAAGGCCCCATCTCTTAGTGGCACGCTCCAGTCTCAGCAGCAGCGTCTCCAACTCCTCTGCATGAGCAGCTATTACCAAATCATCGGCATACATAACGTGGTTTAGCAATAGGGAGCCATCCCTTGACCGTACCCGGGCATCGATCAGCCTCCCATTATATCTGTACCAAATGGAGATTCCCCTGGTACAGCTAGTGAAGGCTTCACGAACTACGTGGTCAAAATAAATATTAAATAATGTGGGAGCCAGAGGACATCCCTGTCGCACCCTAAGGTGTACAGGGAATGGCTCTGACTCCCGGCCACCTAGTTTTACCCGGGCCCGCTCACCATCATGAAGGTCCTTAATGATCGTGAGCAGAGGGTCAGGGACTCCAAAAGCACGAAGAACAACCCAGAGCCCAGGCCTACTTATGGTATCATAGGCCTTGACCAGGTCAATAAAGCAGAGATGTAGGTCCGACACGCACGCACACAACAACAAAAACAAGCGCCATTCGCCACTAAATGGCGGTGACGTCACCACGACGCTTGTGCCAGGCTATGTGCACCCTGAGGCCACGTGAAGTGTCGAACGCCCGCTGGCAGGAGGTCACGGGGCAGACCCAGGTGCCACGGGTCGACTGACTGAGATGACTGGCTGATGCACCACCCTTGCCTCCTACTGTGCCAACCTGCTGAGCTTTAGCCACCCGGCGCTCCGCTCGTTGTTCTGAGCGTCGCTCCTCCGCCCTCCGTTGTTGTTGGAGGGCGACTACCTCCAACTGCCCAGTAGCGTCCTTCACGAGCCTCCTCCACAGAGGCCGATCTTGACACCGCTGGTACCAGTCATCGGCAAGTCCACTCAGCTCCACGTCCTCCTGTACCACATCACGCCATCTCTTCTCTAGCCCGTGCCGCGCCCGCTTAGCCCCCTCAATCCGGCCAAACAAAAGCTGTTTTGGCATGCGGTGGCTGGGCATGCGGGCTACATGACCCAGCCATCGCAGCCTTCCCCGCCGGAGGAGCTCACCGATGGGACCTTGCCCAGATCTTTCAAGGATTTGTGAGCTCCTCACACAATCCAGTCTGGTTAAACCCAGGATGGATCGTAGGCAGGCCAGCCTAAATGTTTCTAACCGGCGAAGATGTTCCATTAGGGGGGTCCACGTTTCGCAAGCGGAGAGAAGGGAGGGAATGACCGTGGCCGAGAAGACCTGAAGCTTCGTGCGGAGCGACAGACCAGGTAGCTTCCACACAGCGTTACGCAACCGATGAAAAGATATTGCCGCTCGACTGATTCGGAGTGAGACCTCTGCAGTTAAACTGGAGCCAGTCATAAGCACACTGCCCAGGTATGGGAAACTCTCCACTCTCTCCACAACTGCCCCATCACCGATTGGGAGTTGTGGGGGTGGAGTGTCCGATGGTACAAAATACCCAGGCAGGTGCTTAGTTTTGATGGGGCTGATGGTAAGGCCCCATCTCTTAGTGGCACGCTCCAGTCTCAGCAGCGGCGTCTCCAACTCCTCTGCATGAGCAGCTATTACCAAATCATCGGCATACATAACGTGGTTGAGCAATAGGGAGCCATCCCTTGACCGCACCCGGGCATCGATCAGCCTCCCATTATATCTGGACCAAATGGAGATTCCCCCAGTACAGCTATTGAGGCTTCACGAACTATGTGGTCAAAATATATGTTAAATAATGTGGGAGCCAGAGGACATCCCTGTCGCATCCCAAGGTGTACAGGGAATGGCTCTGACTCCCGGCCACGTAGTTTTACCCGTCCCCGCTCACCATCATGAAGGTCCTTAATGATCGTGAGCAGAGGGTCAGGGACTCCAAAAGCACGAAGAACAACCCAGAGCCTAGGCCTACTGATGGTATCATAGGCTTGACCAGGTCAATAAAGCAGAGATGTTGGTCCGACACGCACACGCGCACACACAGACACGAACACGCGAGGGCAATTTTTTTTAAGTTGGGGAACTTGCGGGGGGGGGGGGGTAGAATAGCAGGTGGCCATGGGGGGCTCCCGATGTCGAAGAGCCGAGGGGGCTCAGACAAGTTGATCACTCGGGGGGGGGCACAGCGGTGGTCTTGCCACTCTAGCCAAAATGTTTTTGGGATGGGGTGGGTTTGGGGGCGGGGAGGGCTGCTGGCCCCGTTTGTCCCTTATGCTATACCTGGGTGGGGGATCAGCGGCACATTGGTTTGCACACCGCACTATAAACCTGTCGACCTGAGTTTGCTGCCAGCCATTTTCGATATCTGAACCGGCCCTGGTGATACCCTGTCCCCCCCCCCTCCACCAACATTGAGCAGCGTGGTGAAGTATGGTCAAACAATCGCCACGATCGGAACGCCGTACGGGAGGCCTTCATCTAGCAGTGCATTGCCGAAGTGGCTGTCTTAAATGACTCCCTACATTATCGGCAGACTGTGAACTTTAGCGACATATAGAGCATATCCCGTACATGCATGTACTGTACATAGTGTGAATAGAGTAGGCATGTTAGCGATACACCCGTGGCTCACGATACGCGCAATTATGTCTGATGGTACAGAGTCCACGTGTGTGTTTGGGGGGCGGCTGGTGGATGAGAATACCAAGCGGCAGCCAAAGGATGGAACGCGCCCGAGAGACTTACCATCGCGGAGACGGAGCGGTGAAATCCGCTCGTGCGCTAGGTGGGGGTGTTACTCCGTGGGGAGCGGTGGCGGAGCGGTTAGCGCGCTGCGCTTCGAACCCGGCAACCCGAGTTCGATTCGTGCTGCACGGCCAACACCAGGCGACGATTATCTGTACCGATCCTGGGCGTCCTCTTGGTCGATTCGGCCGTATGAGTACCTGGTGCGGTGTATAAACATCGCCACTGGGGAGACAAAGGTGGTCGGGCGTGGTGTTGGCCACCCACCCCCTCGTTTGCCATTCTGGCCTTCATGGGTGCTCGCTAACAGCACTTGCCCCAACAGTCTGTTAAGTCTATAGGGAGGTGGGGGCGGGGGGTATTTAACCTTTCTTACTCTGCAGGACAATGAGAGACCGTGACGGTTTAGGGAGGCCTCCATCCAGCGGTGGATTGATCATGGCTGATGATTGTGTATTGGGGTGTGCGACCGTTCTTGCGACCTCTGCGCGTATCGTCTCTTCCACACACTCCACGGTTGGCAATGTTGTGTCATTGACTCGCGTGCCCATGGGCAAAAAAAATGACAATTTAATCATCGAATTATTTACAGGAGATGCAGCGGCGTCAACGAGTCGAGTTCACTTCCGAGAAACCGAGCAGGGTTGTCGATCACGCTCGTAATCCGTTATCGGGTTGCAAGCCAAAGTGGGGTGGGCAGCTTAGGGCCGTGCAGCAACCGGTCGATTGTTGTGCTGCACTTTCTAAGCTTTTTTAAAATCTCGATTGAACACTCACTTCCGTAGAACTGCTTTTTTGCGTTTCGTTTCGTTTGTCCTTCAACCGCGCCTCCGATTTGCGCGGTTGGCAACATACGGTGCGAAATACGTTCTACACACATGGTAATTAGTATCATAGTACGTGGTGTATGAACTTCTTTCGCACCGTACGTAGCCAACCGTGCTAATCCGGAGGTGCGCGGGAAGGACCCACAAACGAAGTGTAATCGAGGAATAACAAGTTTATCTTCACGAGAAGAAGCTTTTTGTTGCCTTGAGCGAGCCGAGCCACAGCACTGCGGTTCTGTACTTCAATGCCCCCGTATCGATGCTCTCTGCCCTCCGACAACCCACGGCTGAGCAGAGATCGGCAAAGTGTGGTCAAATGATCCCCATGGCTGAAGTGGCGTGGATAAGGCCTTCATCCAGCAGCGGATTGACAAAAAGGGCTTTTCAGGCCTCTGGAAGTCCGTTTCAGACCGTGGTCATCACCACAGCTGCACGATTATCATCACGACTGTCGCCATTTGTGGTAATAATGGTTGTGGTAATTATCATGATCAATAATGCTTGTGGTGTAATTGTCATTCACGGATATTGCAATAACTATAATCGTACAATAATCATGGTCATGGTAATATTTATAAGCAATGGTAATCACAGTTATTGAAATCTATCGATAATAATCAGTGATATAATAATCATGGTAATCACTATCATGGTTATCATTTTCATGATCCGTTCCCAATAACAGTCACGGCTATGATCATGATAATTACCTGTGATGCTTATCATCAAGCTTACAATAATCAGCTTAATGGCTATAATAATTGTTTTCCTGGTAAACGTGCTAAGCATAATGAATGTTTATCGTCATGGTCCACATCAGTCATCGACACTTGTCAATCATCGTCAAATTAATAACCATTAAAGTGCCTTACACGTGTTTTTATTATCTTTGATTTGTCAAATGTTTTTCATTGTTGCAAGTATACGTTTTAGCTAGTTGGTCTTTTTTCCAAAATGTTTTCCAATTTGTGCCATCGGTGCCATCTGAAGAGATGGAGAATGCGTTGGGAAATCATTCAAGTGGCCTTGTTAACTTTACAAAAAACAGGGACTTGCATTCTGCCGTTTACTCTTTGATTAAATTGTCACGTGATGATCGAAGCAATATTTTAGCATTTCTCTCAAGAGCTGGAATGTATTCACGATTGGTTGAACGCAGAACAAAAACTTACCACGGGCGCGGTTTGTTGTTGACATGCTGTCATTCGTGAGCGGGCCGGGCCACCAGCCTAACTGCACTGGAGAATCCAGTTTTTACAAACGTGTGTTTTTGTTATTTATTTTACCAGGTAAGACCCACCACTGAGCGATATCGTAGCTCGTTGCCAGAAGCGACCTGGTCACATGATGGCTCAGCGAAGTGGCTTGTCACGTGGACATTTATGGCAGCCAAATGCTCTGAACGCGTGACGTTGATTCTCAATGTGGAGGGAAAACCCCCAGAGAGAGAGACGGACAAGCTCCAAATATACAACAGGCGTCAGGGATCGGTACCCAAGACCTCCCGTAAACCAGGCGAGTTAGTGAACATTTCGCTCCCGTGGCGCCCCTAGCGGGCGGCTGTAGCTCGCACTCGAACCCAAGAATTCCGGCAATTGCTGTCTCGGCATTTTGACCTCTTGAGTCGCCACATGACGACAATTCAACACGTTCGTCAATCACATTGTGGCCTTAAAATGAAAAAGTATAATAGGTTACGTTGTTGGGCAATAGCCCTTCTTAATAGCACAAGGTCGACGCTTGAAAAGTAACCTATTATGTGTTCACCCTTTTTAAGGCCACAGTGTTATTGATGAATATGAGTTTCCACCCCTCGCCCCCCCCTCCCGCTCCCCCCCCCTTATGGTTCTGTCGCAGTCCGCTTTTATTGCACCACAACGCCACTGCCAACGCAGCAGCAGCAGCATCACCAAATCAATTGACTCAAGTTGACAATTTTTCCATGGCAATGCACTATCCGCATCTGTACAATGTTTACTGGGTGTACACACGTGGCCGGGCATTGTCCACAACAAACGCACCGGTTGGATGCGCGTGAATTCGATGCGTATTCACGCGAACGAAAACGCGTTACGACAACCCAATGGCTTTGTGTTCATATCCAATTCCGAGCGCTGCTATAATCAGGGGTGCACACACCTGTAACAGACCAAGAGCACAAAAAGTTCCCGTGAGTTCCGCAGAGAGCCACGTGTATGTGCGTTCTAAGTGTGTACATCAAGGCATATTTGAATATGGGGGGGGGCTATGTAAATAAAAACAACAATTTGCTCAACCTTGGCCACAATATCTGCACTTGTCTTCATATAACAATGCATAGATTTATGTTTATATGATTGTGGTTATGGTTGTAATTTATTAATCCCTAATCTCTGACATTACGTACAATGAAACAAGAAAAGGTAAAAAAGTAAAAACAAAGCAATGTAATACAATAACACTATTAGACATTGTGAAAAATGAATTAAAAAGTCCATCCCATGTGTTAGTGAATTATTTTTAAATATTTCAGGCAGGAAATTAGTTTTAAAATGTAGAATTTTTTCTGGGTTGGGACCCCCAGACACCCTGGAAGACTTAGTCCCCCCCAATGTTGACTCCATGGCTACGGCCTTGGTGTACATATATTGGCAGTTTTCGGCACAGCACGGGAGACATTTGTTCTTCTCTGCTACCGTGATGGCACGTTCTTCTACGTTCTGCCCCCCTCGGACAGAGCCGCATGCGCCTCGGGCGACGCCAGCTGTGCCACCACCCCTCGTAGGGGCCTATGACGAGATCTTGTTTGAGTGGATGCACGTCAAGGTGCAGCTGTGGCTTGCCAATCGCCACTGCTGGCGGGTAGAGGGTTTCCAACTAGAGACGTCTTTGGAGTTACCCACACTTTACCCCGCCACACGCAACCTGCCGGTCGACTCCTAACCGTGGTGCGTACGGTTACACTGCTGGGCACAGACTGATGTTGTTGGGGGGGGGGGGGGGGGTTTGTGGGGAGAAACTTAAGATACTTGCCCCCCGTTGTTTAAAGTTCCACGCCGGGAAATGGAATCGAACCGGCCGCCTCTGGATTGCAAGTCCCAGTGCGCTGACCGTTACAACCACGGCAGCAATCCCCGATGTGTGTAACCTGTGAATATCCACTTTAAAGACACAATGTACCAGCGACACGATAAAAAGGTACCACCCCCCCCCACCTCTCCCTTTGTATTACCTGGGCCGCACGTGGCACAATGTCGAGTTAGGAACGCGCTCTCGAGCACCCGGTGGGTTCACTGCTTTCTGCTGCGAGAGTTCACAGTGGTAATAATGTCAGGAGGGATGGATGGGTCAGGGAGGAAAGGTGAAATGCTGGCTCGCCTGGCACGTTCAACGATCTCAACTGATGAGCAATCCCCTTTGTAAAGTAACGCCAAACGTGGCACACTTTTTGAAGTGGGGCGGGGGGGAGTTTCTTGACAATTGTTTTGCCGATTCGCAAATGCGTCAGCGTACAACGTGCGGTAAATTTGCCCGCTGCTGTGAACGTGCATTTTGTGGCATGCAAATCGATGAGTCATTGTTCGTCTCAAGCCAACAGGCCACCGTGCTCAGACGCAGATGTTTCGTTTCGTGATATCATCTGGGATGACAAACTGCGTCGGGTTTCGTCGGATTTTTTTTTATAACCACGTGATATACGGAAGTGAATTACAGTTGAAAACGGCGTTACATATGAAATCATATGAATCGAAAAATATATATACATCGTTCTTAGCTTTTATGACCACTATATACCAGCAGAATTTATTAGCACAACCAAAAACAAATCTCGACTGGTTTGACCTTTTGGCTCTAGAGCAGTCAGGCTCGTTAAACAGAACACACACACACTTGTGCTATCAGGTTGTTGTTGTTACAATATTGACAAGAGCCATCTAACTTCACGGTGCGGTCCATTTAATCGTAAACCAGAGACGTCGTTGCGCGGCACCTCCGATTAGCACCGCTTACGTACGGTGCGAAAGAAGTTCAACGTACGGTACATACATACAACAATTAATTATGTTTATATTAACAAAAGCCCATAATTGTGCTTCTGTGGAGCATTACAGTGACTCAAGTAAAGTAAACGCAGGCAAAATTATATCACTATCAAGGCTGCGCAACACCGCATAACTTATTAATTAACTTAATCACATTTGTTATCCCAAGAATACAAACCCCATATTCTACAGCCTGCCCTGATCCAGCGATTGAGTCCGGGAGACACGGTCAAAGTTACAAGAAGTCAACGTATATTTGTTGGCATGCTATATCAACTCATTGGTCCCTTCGTTTAATAGCATGTTAAACGTGTGGTGTAACGTTACGCAAGTTCCATTGAATCCACTAAAATCTAAATCAGATCCAAGAAGTCTGGCAGGGTTGAGCCTGGATAGCGCTCGGGTTGGGCGATCATCATGCGCAAAGACAGGCGGCATAGACATTGAGGGCGGTGCAGAAGAAACATCCACTGTTGTTCTGCACCATCACCTACGGTCAGCAACCCACACTTACCAGCGTGGTGAAGTATGGTTAAAATATCACGGCCTGCAGGGTGTGGAGGAGGCCCCCCCCCCCTCATCCAGCATTGGATTGACAGAGACACAAGACTGTACGTGTGTACAAGGTACAGTAATGCAAGAGCCTGTAACGAGTAAGCCGGAGACATCGTGCTGTTGCGGGGGAGTTTAAAAAGCTTCATAGCTCATCGGATTTTTTCCAGGATAAATAGAGATTCTGATAAAGGACCTGCAGGACTACACCCTAGGGCAGGGGTGGGGAACGTCCGGCCTGTGGGCCGTATGAGGCCCATTAAATCATTTGGTCTCTGGCCCTGCCAAGGCAGGCGGGACTCGAAATTCAATAAATCTAGGAGCAAACCTGGAAAATCAGTTGCGAGTAGCAACATCATCAATACCAGCTAACATCATCACACGCCTCACCAAAGAGAAGCAATTCCAGCCATCACATTAGGGGTGAGTTAATTAAATGTTTGACCAAATATAACAGGCTATTTTTTCAGTTGATAATTTTGTATGGCCCGTGAATGATGTTATAAATATCCAAATGGCCCTTGGCAGAAAAAAAGGTTCCCCACCCCTGCCCTAGGGTCTAGAAATTCACATCAACAATGTTTTGGCTGCTCAGGTGCAGTGCCGGATTATCCTCGTAGTAAAAGTAGCTACATAAGTAGCTACGGGCCCCGCACTTTTAAGGGCCCCGCGCTAAATGCTTTCAATCTATCAATTCCGATTCAGTGATTCTGCACTTGCTCTATTACTATAGTACTATACCGCCTTCAACTTTTATGAACGACTGGGTGTTTAAGGTTAGCGATTTTTTCGTATTATCTGTATAGAAAATGAAAAAAATACAATTACTATATTATAAGGGTTAAAATTTCGTGTTTTAATGTTTGTTATTTATTTAGGGCCGCTTTATAACATATGCTACAGGCCCCGCACCAGCTTAATCCGGCACTGCTCAGGTGGTAACCAAACCATCGCCTCTAGTCCACGGGCACCAAATCATCACGGTGAGCGACACCGAGGGACACCTCGATTGGCGTTTGATTCCGGTCGGACAGGCGCACGCACAGGGGACTGAAGGGTGTCTGAAAAATCTGGACAGGATTGAAGGCACCAAGACAACAAACACCGTTGCGCAAAAAGGCGAACTGGCTCTCCGTGTCGGAGTTTTTATGTGCATTCGAGAAATGACGATGAACGTGCTGCCCCCCCCCCCGATGATTTTGAGATTCGCGTTCCGGCTTGGGTTTTCGTGCTTGACGATAGGTCGACGCAAGTAGCTGAACACGGATGGCATGGGCATCGATGCAACAAATGAGATAGCGGTGTCGGGGGGGGGGGGGGTGACAAGTGTTCTATCTCTGCCCCTTCTTGCGGAAAGGTTGCGTGTGCACTTTGCCCATTGAGTCACGGCGTGCTCGGAGCGGAGGTGCCGGTGTTTGCGAATTGTCGTAGCGTTCCACCGTAGATGCATTCGCGACTGTGCCTTTACACGAGCGTCTCTTGAAAAGTTTGGCACGGTAGTGTCACCGAGCGGTGTGGCACAACAGTGTCTTTGAGTTGTTTGGCACGGTAGTGTCACCGAGCGGTGTGGCACAACAGTGTCCCTAAGTAGTTTGGCACGGTAGTGTCACCGAGCGGTGTGGCAATAGAAGTTGCCCTGATCAGTTTGGCTTAGTGGCGTCAACGAGTAGTGTGGCACAGTAGTGTCACTTAGCAGTGTGGGTACAGTAGTGTCACTGAGCAGTTTGGCACAGCAGTGGCCCTGAGCAGTGTGGGACAGCAGTGTTTCTGAGCAGTGTGGGACAGCAGTGTCACCAAGAAGATTGGTGCAGTAGTGTCCCTGAGCTGTTTGACACAGCAATGTCACCAGGTAGTGTGGCACAGTAGTGTAGTATTGCAGCTCCATTGCGCACAAAGTCACGCTGCTCTGACTAACTAGCACATTTTGCAATCAGTAATAGAGAAAATGGTCCCGTTTTTTCCATCACAATTTAGTCAACGGGCAGGTCTAGTATTGGTGGTGTTAAGTGTGGGTTCTGCAACCTCCTCCAAGATGTCTGGCAAGTGTAGAAGAGGAGGCCAAGTACCCTCTAGAGGCGCTCTCTAGGGATGTCTCTCGTAGAGGACCTTCCGCCAGCATGAACAAGCAGTTGCAGGGCTGCACCTTTATCTTAACCCAACGCACTGCAAATCATTTTGATGTCCCATTGGATTCCGGAGACGATGGCGCGAAATGTAAATACAGTGTACAGTTGTGTTTTCTTTCTTCATTAAGTCTTGCTGTCGTTCATACCTATACAATTTCCTCCGTTTATTTCGATTCGCACAGAGGTTTCATGCAGTCCTAGTGGAAGGAAGGGGAGGTGTGACAGAAAGAAAACGTTTTTCAGCAGACATCGTTTAACTGTAAAAACGCCCACAATCCAGTCAGTGGTGCAGGGGATTCTGCATGGGCATCAAATTGGCTCGGATCAAAGTTGAATCCCAGATTTATTTCTATTGCCTACAATCAAATCGCTCAAATTGCATCGTCCAATCTCGTCACATCTCAGACCCTAAGCAAGGTTGAGCCTGGTCATTACTGTGGTCGGGTATGTCCGCCAGGGCTTGCCAGGTGTTGTAGGTGTATGTGGCTGCAACGTGGTTAATGGCTGAGTGCCACCCCCCCCCACACCACTGGTGGTTTTCTCTGGGCTCTCCGGTTTCCTCCCACGTGAAGGCAAACTCTCTGTAATAGATTTGGCCAAACATCCCAGTGCAGGACTCTTCTAAAAAAAGGGTCTTCAGACTCGTCGATCGTCATTATGATGATGATTATTATTATTATATAATGTTGAATCAGGATGTTGCAGTACCTGTTTGCCCTTTCTCGATGGGAAGGTGCTTGTTTTCTGCTTTGAATTATCTGACGTTTTGGCAGACCTTGGCTTTATCTTATTCAGACACGTACACGGACAAACAAAATAAAAAATGCAACTTTAGTACAGTGTTAATGTTGTCAAAAAAACACCAAAGCTTGCTTGATCACAAACGAATTTTTTACGAATGCGAGTAACATCCTAAAATATTGTCCCTCGTAACCATGGAGAGAGAGAGAGAGAACCTGCAAATTCCAATTATACAGGCATCAGAGTCGATATGGAACCCAAGATGTCCTGGATACCAGGCGAGGTAGTTCACCTTTTACCACCGTGGTGCCCCAATGCTATGCTTGGATGACACACGGATGGAGCCTGAACAAGACACATTCCGGTTTCGTCAGAGAGTATCGTCAGTTACGAGAACAAAGAGTAAATGGGTTTGGGCAGGACAGGTGGCTAGCAGGAACGACGGGCGTCTGTCACGAATGGTTGTATGTCGGTCGAACACCGGTGAGGCAAGGCCGTAAAGAAGGCTGTAACTGGTGTCGGCCAATCGGTTTCAAAGACAATGCCATGTATAATTATCAGAACACATTTGTGTGCAGACTTTATGCCTTGCAATAGGTGTATATCTTTGTTGTTTGAATCATCTTAACACAACTCCTGTCCTGATGCCGGAAAGGGTTGAAGCCTCTCCTCATTTGTTGTCATTTACGGTCGAACTTATTTCGCACCACCGCACGTCGCCAGACCATGCTCATCGAATTGATCCTGGAAAGTGCACGCGCGTGCCCGCTACCTTTTCGTTGCACGCCCTCTGATGGGGCTGCAGCTGCGGATCGACGAGGTCATCCAGAGTGTCCAGAACGTCCATGCGATTGATTCGCTTCAGGCCTCGGCGTAGGTCGGCCACGCATCTCCTACTGTCCCCGCGGGCCCAGTGCTCCAGCGCAGACAGCGCCTGCATGTGAACGCTGTGCGGGTGCTGCTGCTGGAAGTCGGCCCATTGGCTGATGCCCAGCTGTCCCAGGAGCTTGCTCCAGTCGGCGCCTATCTTGATTGCCACGTCATTGAGCACGTAGACCCTGTCACCTGCACGCATCAGGAGGGGGTCGTGGCCGTGGGGTCATAGTAATGCGCTCGTGACCTCGTTTGTCGTTCCCTCCGCACAAACCGAGCCTCCGCTCACGTCATTTTTTTCCACCGCGGAAGGCGAACCGTGCCGTCGGCGTTCACGTGCGACGAGTCGATATGCACGCGGCGCCTGCGTCCTAACAGCGTACTAAAACTAAACTTAAAAACTATTTTGCTTTTACCAGGTAAAGCCCATTGGGCTATGCGGCTCTTTTTCAGCCGCGATAGCACAACGAAGTGGCTTTATTTTTACGTGATCTAACCCATAAAACATTTACGAATAACATTGGCCGCAGCCAAATAATCTAAGCACAAGTTTCTTAATGTGGGGACCCAGAGAAAGATTACACGCAGCCATGAGGAGTACATGCAAACTCCAAATATACAAGCATCGTCAGGGTTTGGGATTAAACCCACAATCTGCTGCATACCAGTGAAGGGAAATAACATCTCGCCACCATGGCGCCCCATCAGTACGATGGGGCGCCCCGAGCCAGATTCAAATGTTTTTTGTTGAGTACCATGGTTTGGCTCTGGCTCGGCACGGCAAATGCGACGAGGGCCCTCCGCTGGCTCGGCTCGAATGTGCCAGTGGAAAAGGGCCATTGGTTGGAATTGGGTGGTCATGTTCAGGTAACTCGTGGCAAAACAATCACAACACATGTTTGAAGAGTGGCAAAATACTGTCGTGCGCACCTTCTTTCTTGGTCGCCATCAACCAGTGCGTCACCGGTGAATCCGAGTTGCATAATTTCTGCAGCTTAATTTCCCTCAAGGATCGGCACAGCCACACGATGACTCCGATGAGGACGACGATGATGATGGCGAGGACCACGGCCACAGCCACGTGGCCGTACGCGTGGTACCAGGGCATCGCACCGTCATAGCGCTTGTCATCGGCTCCGCCGGGCTTGGTGGGGGGTGGCGACAGCAGGGAGGTGCGAGTGGGACGGCCGCGAGTCACTGTGCGCACACATTACAAGAAAACACACGCGGGTTGGCGTGGGAGCGCGTGCACCTCGAAGTGCACCGCACCCCCGCGCACACGCACGCTTCCCATACACCCACGAGGAGACCCCCATGCACCCTTTTGAACACCCACACCATGCACACCTTCACGCGCCCTCGCACAGCCCACCCCCACACCCCCACGTACTCGTCACGTTCTCGGCACACACGGTGTCGTTCTTCCTCGTCCCCAAGCGCAGGACCTTCAGCCCGCGCTCCCGGCAGTTCGTGTGCCGCCGGCAGAACCGAGCCGCGGCGGCCTCCCCCGGCACCTCCACCGAGAAGTAGCCGGAGAGGCACCGCGTGCACTCCACGTCCGTCTCGTTGGTGCCGCGCCTGTGCACCCCGTACCCGGGCGGGCACACGCGGTGTTGTTGGCACCGCCCATCGACCAGGTAGGCGCCGGGCTTGCAAACGCAGCGTCGGGGCGAGGCGGCCTCGCAGCGTGACTCCTCTCGCTCCAGGCCGGCGCAGGGGCCGCGGCACAGCAGACAGTAGTGCAGCGTGTTGGGTTGGTCCGTGTAGGTGCCCGGCTGGCAGGGGATGCACTCGGTCTCCCGGGATGCGGTGCACTCCGCCAGCGCCATCTCGCCGGCTGGGCACGGGCGGCACAGGCGCGTCACGGGATGCTCCCGGGGTCCCGGTAGGAATGGCATCGTCGTTTTCGACGTTGCCGCCGCCGCCGCCGCCGCCGCCGCCGCCGCTGCGAACGCGAGGAGCGACGTCGTGAAAGGAGCCATCGTCGTGGTCTTGTCACCGTGGAGCTGCGGGTGAACAGGGGCAGTGTTCATTTAGTCAGCATTTGTATACATCTCTGGCACAATCTGTGGAATCTTCGTCAAGGTCATTAATCTGCGAATTTTCATGTAGGCAACCTCTGGTTGACGAAGGCAGTCAAAAGACTTGGTTCACCCTTAATTAATGAGTGATGTTGTGAGCGGTGCATGTACACAAATCTTCCCAGAATAATGTAAGGTCATCCAATCGGAGACCTTATATATTTTCAGATGTAATAGTCACGTGTAAGTCTTTGAGTCTTTATTAAAGCTTACTTTGTCTCACTGTAAGTCTATGAGTCTCTATGTAGTCCTATTGTGTCTGTATAACACAAATCATTAGAGCCGTGGAGAATATGCAGTAACAAAATAAATACGTAAATAAATTCTGCCTCCACATATCCGTCCGCTTGCATAAAATAATATCTTTTTTACATATCCAGACAGCTACACGGCCTTCTGGGAGCGGATATAGTTTCATCAGCAAGCAAACTCTGGACCAGTTTCAACATTAATTTTGCTGTGATCGTAAACTCGCGACTACGTTTTGTGTTTTTTAGTTTGATGTCCTTCCCCCTGCACCTCCGATTAGCACAGTTGGCTACGAAAGAAGGTCAACACTTGAGAACCCGGCTTAATCACGGGCAGGGGACACCTGGATTGGAATCCTGGCTCTCAGTGGAGCGGGCACGGTGTATCTGGCCTGAATGTCGCACAGGGGTACAGCCACGTGCTTGTATATAAGATCTAAGCCAATACAAAAAACACACCCGGCTCTCGAGAGCCTCTTTAATTAATTTCCATTGGGTCAAGGAATGGGTCACTAAGTGGATTATGCTGTTGTTTAATCTGTTGGCCAAGCTGAAATAGTAATATCCACAATGGTACGTACGGTGCGAAAGAAGTTCAACATGCAGCAACATTAAAAACATTTTTGTAGTATTAATGCAAATGAGTGTATATAATAAGATAATTGATTATTCATGGGGTTGTCTAGTACTCAAAAGCTACGAATAGTGTAATTATTAACAAGCCAATAAAACAACTATTCAAAAGGAATGTTTTCTTATCAGGCCCCAAGGTCTAAAGTTCAGTCTCCAACTCGTATTATCCACTCCATCTCTAGCCTCTCTATTTATTTTGAGAATTCGGGGGACTTTGTCCCGACAGTAGTGTTTAGAGGTTTTGTTGTTAAAAACAGTACCGAGATGGAGAGCCGTTCCTCGCGTGCACGGCGAATCGTGGTCGACCGCCCGCGGCCCCGCGCTTTAGGTGGGGGGGGGGAGGGGTGACCCCGCGCGCGCTTTTACGTCACGGTTTAAAAATGCACAGCGCAGTGAACACTTTCTGGACGGCCCTTTCGTAGATGCACAATCTGTTTTTACTGACCTGCGAGAGTGACGACAGTGGCGGCTGTGCAGGCCCTTAGGCTCTCATCATCTCGCGTCCTGCGAGAGCGTCCGTGGAGATGAAGTGTTGCATTTGAATCGCAGTGTCCTCTTGCCAGAATCCTCCTCCCCTATAGCCACCCATCCACTCTTTCACAGACTGCCGGGGCAAGGTGATGTTCGCCAGCACACCACCACCCCCCCCCCCCCCCCCCCGTGTTAATTCACGAGTTCAGAGTGGTGCTGAACTGCTGATGTGTTACAAACACCGCAACCCAGCTATTTTCCGGACTAATTTAAGGCCGCAGTCGAGCTCGGGTTGGCCCAGAATCACAACATTTAGTTACACCCCACTGGGGGAATCGGACCCAATCGCGCAGTGGTTGATAACCAGTGCACCACCGCTCTCCCGGCACGATACACAACAACAGCACACGCAAGCGCAGTGCACCGCCTGTGCAGCTTGAGACGGTGCCACCACGGCCTCCGTTTTACTTCCTCATCTTAACATTCGTCCGCGTTGAAATCGTCGTGAAAAGACTGCGACTACATTTGACGTCCTTTAAAACGTATATTATAATACAAAACTGCCCTGTTAAAGTTCACATTTGTATATCACCACCATCATAATTAGCCTAGCTCAATCCACTGCTCGATCAAAGTCAGTCTCCCAAGTCGTCGCCTCCCGAGATGATGATTCACTGATCAGATTGCATCGTTCCGTCCCTGCGACGGACGCCGTCTAAACCCGCGGCTTCTGCGGCTGCCACTCTTCGTAAACAAGCGACAGCCTCCTTAGCCACGTGTCCTGCCCAAGCCCCGTGCCCTCAATCGTCGATCCCCGCCGCTTACCTGAATGTCCGATGCCTCTTCATGTTCCGTCGTGATCACGTTGTTCGCTCGACGTTTACAGGAGCCATGTGGGTTGTGTGTGGCCCTTTCTGAATCAGCTCACGACGATCGCCTTGTTACCCACCAACCCACATTATTATGGTTACATACACACACACGTGTGTTGCGTGTTAAACAATAAGTAGAAGTTAACTGTGATGCACAGCTACGCACAGTTGTTATTGTGAACCGGAGCTTCGTATAAGGACGCCGCCCGGTCTCGCAGACTGCGACTAGTTTGGGGTTTTCTTGTGTTTGTTACCAGGAACGAAGACAAAAAAATCACGAACTACCGGAATTTGTGACGCGCTCACCGCCTCTCCTTCTTTGGATGAAGGGGTTTGGACAGCTGTTTAGTTGGACAAGAAAACCAAAATAATAATCCACTACGCCCACGGGTTAAAATTCGCAGTTTGCTGATAATTTTGATCTGGCAAGAGTTGCCCACAAGATCGTCATGAGCAGGGATGTTAGTTGGTTAATCTCTTCAGCGGTTTAAAGGGGGGTGGGAGGGTCTTAAGATGCAGTCGTGTTGGGTGGAAATAATAAAAAAATATCTGGGGAATTCCCCCAAGACACCGTCACGGACACGGAATGTGGAAATTCCCGATAGATGGATGGGTTCTCGATTTATTTACGGCTCCTTTTTTTCAATCCAACGTTGGACGAGGGACTCCTCGCGATGCCGTTGTAGGTCGCGGCGGGGGGAAGTGGTGGTGTGGGGGTGTTTGTCCATACTTCACCACGCTGGTCAGTGCGGGGTTGATAAAAGTTGGGGAAGTGGCGGGTGGGTTCAGATATCACTCGCCACTGATGTAGTCCGTGGCCGGGTTAACCACTGCGCCACCGCTCCACTCCTCCTAGGGGTTAGTGGCAGGGATAATAATAGCAGACGTCGTTCGCGACGGAACGATATTAATTGTTATTATTCAACTTGTTTACAGAGGAAGCCTCACCGAGTCTCAAGACTCCTTTTCAAGAGGGTCCTGCCAGGCTTTCGCATTAGGGAGCGATGTTACTGCCGCAGATTCCAATCGATGATAATAATTTGTACAAAATAATTATAATGATTTAAAGCTTTCGTGACTGCAGGGATTCATATTTTTGGTTCTTTCGGTAAAGTCACGTAGAAGGGAAACAGTAAAATAATACAAATTGTTTAATATTTTAAAAAAATGTTTAATATTTTTATTATTTTATTGTTTCCCTTCTACGTGACTTTACCGAAAGAACCAAGAATAAAAATAATTATAATTATTTAAGCATTGGGATGTTTGTACGGTTTTGTCAGAAAATTATACTATTTATCCCGTCTGTTGATCCACCGCTGGATGAAGACCTCCCCATTACGTCACCAGTCCTGGGGGTTGTACGACCATACTTCACCACGCCGGTCAGTCTGGGTGAGTGAACGCAGCGCCCAGAACTGGTTCGGATATCATACGCCACTGATATTAGCCGTGGTGAAGAATCGAACTCAGGTCGCCGGGGTTCACAGCACAGTGTGTGTGTGTGCGCGTGCCACTCAAACCACCGCCTCTTCTCTATCGCCCATGGGGTGAAGAGGGTTGATTGACCAAACCGAACCCAATGGTTTAAGGTTCTATCAGTGAACACGAATAATTTGGCTGAATAATGGCGCAGCGTGCATCTTCATATGGCCCGCTTAGTATTTTATTATACATACATATAATGAATAGCATGTGTCCAGGAAAGCCACTCAGTCCTTGCACTCTTGTTTCAGGAGGGCTCTGCATTGCGTTGTCATTTAAAGATGTTTTCAGTCGATTAATGGTGGTGATAACGAGCCGTGTTGATTGTACACGTCGGGAGGAAACCGGAACACCTGGAGATTAACCATGGGCGCGAGGGGGAAACACTCAATCCCCGTACAGATGGACACAGTAGGCGATTACAGTAGTCCATTTTCTGAACCGCCTTCTCGTGGCGAACCAGGGTATGGGACATCCTCGTTTGTGCGGTGAGCCACCAACCCTCGCTGCTGCCTCCACAGTGCTGGATCACAGGCCACGTGCTTCTAATCCACCACCAGTCTGTCTGTTTATGTACCGTATCCATGTTGAACTTCTTTCGCACCGTATGCAGCCAACCGTGCTAATCGGACGTATGAGACTTGTGTTCGTCGCTTGCCGATTACATTCGTTTTTAATAAAAATAATTTACGGTAATCCTGGGCGTCCCCTAAGTGGACTCGGCCTAAAATATGAGCCGCGTGTAAAACGTCATAATTTGGAAATAAAATGGTGGACGGTGCACGTGTGGTTGCGCGTGGCTCGCTGCAACCCCATGTCTGAGTGTTTGCCCCCCGACAGAATATTTAGAATCAGAATTTTCATTCGATACCGGAGGGATCCGATGAGCTATTAAGGTTTTTATGACGGATGTCCAGCAATCGGTGCTCGCTCACAACAGCACGATCTGAGGTTTTGGCTCGAGGAGGGCGACAAACAACGAGGAGGCGGAGCGGCGGCGAAGTGCCACGAGTAAACCAATCAACCCGGGGCGACCCGAGTTCGATTCCGGGCTCACGGCCACCAACCAACCAACCGCACCGGCGACGATTATCATCTGAAGCGGTCGGCTCATGTGTGGAGGTGTGAGATGGGAGACGGCGAGCGAAGGCTTTCATCCAGCAGTGGATCAGCAACGGATCGATCATGGCAACTGCAGCCGATCGCTGAAAATGATACCGAAAAATGTTAATGATAATCATGAAAATGCGATTATTCGCTCGGGACTTCCATTCGGGGTCCTAAGCTGGGATTGAACCTGCACCTGTCCATACAAGTTCGCGGCCATGCAGCCAGAAGGCGGAAAGGAAGCCCCTGCAATGGCGAGTTAGTTTGTTGCTATCGGACCTGTGAACCATCGCCATCGACTGTTCACGCAAAGTGTCGTGCGCGTGAGCCTCGTTATCTATCGACTGGAACGTTTGTTCATGACATAAAAACGTTTTGTAAATACAAAAAAATGTCAGCCCCTTTTGAGAATTCACCACTGGGTTTAAGGCATCATCCCCCTCGCCGTGTTGATTAAGTTTGATAAGGTGGGCCGGGATGCTATATTGTAGTTGTTTTGAAGGAGGCCCTGTTTGGAGACAGTTTCTTTTTTAATTCCTATCCCGAACTGTTTAACCACAACTACTATACAAAGACAAAGATCCCCCGTATAGCCTTAACAGAATGTTGGGGCAAGAGCTGTTAGCGAGCACCGATGCAATCACCACCACCCGTGCCCGATTATGCCAAACACTCCGCTGTTATTCACCTCGCTTACAGTATTTCCGTTCTGCACTTTGTAAATGTTGCTGCACGAACTGCAACTCCGACTCGGTTAAAACGAGCAAAGGGGTCAGTTGAACACGCAGCAGGCTTTCGCGACCAATATCATCCATAATATAGTTTCGATTTAAAGCTTTCGTGACTGCAAGGATTCATCTTCTTTGGTTTTCGGTAAAGTCACGTAGAATGAGAATAAAATAATAAAATAACACAATAAAATTCTCACGACGTTTCGGCCACAACGCAAGCGGCCGTCTTCAGGTCACATAGAATGAGAATAAAATAATAAAAATAACACAATAAAATTTTCACGACGTTTCGGCCACAATGCAAGCGGCAAATCCACATTTACAATCTTAGTACCAGTTACTGGTACAACACACCGGTGTTGCTGTACTAGCAACGAATTGACTACGTTCTATTTATGTGACAAAACTTACGGATTGGCTGTGTCGGGTGGTGGCGGGTTTCACGACGCATTTATATTTAGGCAATCGAAGCCAACGAACCTGTACTGTGGACGAGCAAAGGGTGATGATGTTAATGTCGACACGCAACTTGACAGCGATGCACACACACACACACAGTGACGGCATTTCCAAGTTACGCGGGGGACCTATCCGATTAGCACGGTTGGCTACGTACGGTGCGAAAGAAGTTCAATATCCACGTGCTCATAGAACAGCTGCACTACATCACCCTCCACTGCTGAATTGATACTTCACCAACAACCCTTAATTAGAGAGATCAATTCCGACGCTGTGTCAGTGATTGGGAGTATTTGTTTTTTTATGACCATACTTTACCACGCTGCTCACTCCAGGCGATGTGATAGGTGGGACTGCAGGCCCAGGGACCGGTTCACATATCATTCGCCACTGGTGTTAGTTGTGGATGGGGATCGAACTTGGGGTTGCTGGGGTTCGCAACACAGCGCGATAAATAATTGCGCAACCGTTCCCAACAATTTACCCAAATATTCACTCCTGAGTTTGATTCTTCATTGGGAGGATCTTGCGACCCCTGGTGGCCTTTAGTGCGGGCCCTGACGGCCTTTAGTGCGACCCCTGGTGGCCTTTAGTGCGACCCCTGACGGCCTTTAGTGCGACCCCTGGTGGCCTTTAGTGCGACCCCTGACGGCCTTTAGTGCGACCCCTGACAGCCTTTAGTGCGACCCCTAACGGCCTTTAGTGCGGCCCCTGACGGCCTTTAGTGCGACCCCTGACAGCCTTTAGTGCGACCCTTAACGGCCTTTAGTGCGACCCCTGACAGCCTTTAGTGCGACCCCTAACGGCCTTTAGTGCGACCCCTGACGGCCTTTAGTGCGACCCTTGACGGCCTTAGCGCGACTCCTGGTGGCCTTTAGTGCGACAACTGGCGGCCTTTAGTGCGACCCCTGGCGGCCTTTAGTGCGACCCCTGGTGGCCTTAGTGCGACTCCTGGTGGCCTTTAGTGCGACCCCTAACGGCCTTTAGTGCGACCCCTGACGGCCTTTAGTGCGACCCCTAACGGCCTTTAGTGCGACCCCTGACGGCCTTAGCGCGACTCCTGGTGTTCGTTCCCCCGACAATACACAAAAGTGACAACACCCCCCCCACCCCCCCCCCCCCCCGTCATCATCACCGTGCTGCTGTCAAATCCCCAACGGTTTCAAATGTGTGGCTGCCCTCACGCACTGATGATGTCTCATCGGCGAAAGTGCCTCCCCTCGCCCCCCCCCTCTGATGTGATGGATCAGTGAAGAACAAACTGATTCATCACATCGTGCTGACGCTCACACTGTGAGCAGCAGTAACGGGCAGCACGCTGCAGGTGACGCCCTCACTCCATTGCTGGGATCTGTTGTCGACTTTGGCGGGACCATGATGATTATATTTTTAAAATCAGTGTTTCTCGAGCTGTTACGTTAAGGATCTCGTGTCGGTTTATTATGTGCAAGACACGGTACTTGGTAAATGGTCGAGTAACATTTTAGGCGACTTTAATAAGTCCGTCGAGCGACTTGCAGCAACGTTTTGGGGGTTAACCTTCATGCTGTGACCAAAATCAGCTTGAATGGCTCCCCGTTTCTGTCTGATCTTGGAAGCTAAGCAGGTATGGCCCTGCGCAGTGCTTTGGTGATTGGGGACGGCCTCGACATTGCCAGGTGATTTAAGCTTGGGCTGTGAGGTGGCCAGGAGATGGCGCTACAGTGATAGATTCTTGAATCTATCTGTGTGGA